CAAGTAAATAAATGAATCTTTAAAAAAAAAAGAAACGTTTTTCATATCAATAAAGCAATTATCATTTCAATTATAATATTGTGCAATTATAAATATAATGTTTGGATATTTTATTTTTTCCAGTGGTTCTGCTTGACTCTGCTATATCCCTCTGGCAAAGGCAATTGTCCTCCTACTTGAGTGTGTATCAGCATAATCTGAAGGCTTATTAAGACATAGAGTGAGGGTGCCTGGGTGGCTCAGTTGGTTGGGCGGCTGCCTTCGGCTCGGGTCATGATCCTGGAGTCCCGGGATCGAGTCCCACATCCGGCTCCCTGCTCAAAGCGGGGAGTCTGCTTCTCCCTCTAACCCTCCCCCCTCTCATGTTCTCTCTGTCTCATTCTCTCTCTCAAATAAATAAATAAAATCTTAAAAAAAAAAAAAAAAGACATAGAGTGAAACCCCCACCCAGGTTTCTAATTCACTAGGTCTGGTTTGGGGCCTGAGAATTTGTTTTTAACAAGTGCCAGGGTTGATCTGAGGACCACACTCTGAGAGAAGTAATAGTGCAACCAGTGAGTGAGACTGGGGTTCACTGACAGGGATAGAGAAAATCACTGAAATGTACCAAGTCAGAGTACAGAACTGAAGCTTAGTTTAATATGTAAATGAGTGCTTTACATACTCAAACTCCATCAAGGCAGATGTGGGAGGGGGGTTAATCATAAACTCAACTCTGGAGGGAAAGGACTTATTCAAGATCCCACAGCAGTTTAGTTAAAATTAGGATTCTATCTAGATATGTCTCCCTGACAAGTACAACCTTAAGTAGGATGCTAAATCCTTGTTACTCTAAGTGAGGTTTGCGAATGAGCACCATTGGCATCAGCTGGAGTCTTGTTAGAAATGCAAATCTCAGCTCTCACCCCAGATCTACTGAATCAGAATCCATATGGTCTCCAGTGATTCCAAAGCTCCTTATACTTTGAAAAGCACTGGACTAGGCTCTCCTCCAAATCTTAAGTCCCTGAAGCAGAGCTCAGCTCAGAGAGCATTTAGATAGCTAATGCTTTGTGGTTATGTTTTAAGTCAGTTGCTGTTTAAGATTTGTTTGGGAGAGTTACCCAGGTGTGGCACCCTTCCAACTAGGGACTTAATGAGCATGCCGTAGAGGTACATTATAAACCTTTCCATCTCAGAAGAGCTTCTAACTGACGGAGCAGAGATATCCACAAGTTGCCTGGTGCGGACACTCACAAATTCTGGGATTAGCATAGATCTAAAGACAGTTAAAATATTCCAACTGTAATGCTCTTCTGACAGGATTGCCTTAGTGCAAGACTGGATGGGATCCAAAGTCAGTGGAACTGGAAATCCAAGTTCAGCTTTGTGAAGGTTTCTGATGCAGCCATGTTTAAGAAGATTGACATTAGCAGGTGAACAGAGTTTGCCCTGAGGCTTATTTGGGGGAATTAATAGGGAAGCAGGTGGATGCTTTTATATGCTTGAAAAACAGGGATCCTAGAGTAGTTGTAGCCACTCCCAGAATGTATTGTTGCAGAGTAAGCTGGGAATCATGTCTATTTGCACTCAAGAATGAGTTTGTCTTCTATTAGTCTAAGGAGATCCCAACTAATTTTCCAGGTAAGGGAGTGGAAGTAACAGTGATGTAGAATCTTAAGGAAGATCCCTGGGTTTCTCATAACCATTGGGTATCCCTTCTCAATCTTTTGGTTTTTTGCAGGGTGGGGAGGAGCAATTACAGCTTTTATTGAAGATCTTCATATACTATTAAACAGAAAAAAAGTGAAATAAATGCAAAGCAAGACTTTTCAGCAAAACTTCTCTGATACTTCTTATTTTGAGGACTGAAAAATTTTCAAGCCTGCTTAGGACATATTTGTTAAAGGATTAACAACTGTGATCCAGGGAGGGTAAATTTTTCCCCCGTAAAATTATTTATCACCTTCTTTCTCCATCCCTTCCCAAACTTGATGTCTTCTTCCAATGGAGATGAATCTGCCATGTGGTCTTTACAGTTTTATCCCTCGAGATTACATATTTAAGTTATAGAGTTTATAGTTTACTCTTAAATGCATATTTTTTTGTTTTTTTCCCACTTACTATAGGCATACCTCAAGTTATTGTGCTTCACAGACATTGCATTTTTTAAGTTTATTTTATTTTTAGTAATCTCTGCATCCAACATGGGGCTCAAACTCACAACCCCAAGCTCAAGAGTTTCATGCTCTTCCCACTGAGCCAGCCAGGAGCCCCAAACATTGCATTTTTTACAGTATGAAGATTTGTGACAACCCTGCATCAAGCAACTGTACCCATGCCGTTTTTCCAACAGCACTTGCTTACTCCATGTCTCTGTCACATCCATAAAATTTAAAACTTTAAATTTTTTGTTACAATGATCTAGGACAGTGATTATGACTCACCAAAAGCTAAGATGATGGTTAGCATTTTTTAGCAATATTTTTCTAAATTAAGGTATATACCTTTTTTAGACATAATGCTATTGCACACTTAAACTACAGTATAGTGTACACATAACTTTTATATGTACTGGAAAACCAAAAAATTCATTTGACTCACTTTATTGTGGTAGTTACTTTGTTGCGGTAGTCTGGAACTAAACCCACATCTCCAAAGTAAGGCTGTTAAGTTTTCAACATTTATCTATGTTGTATGTAGCTCCAATTTTTCATTTTCATCTCTAGACAGTATTCTATCATTATCAATATCACCACTATATATCTAATACCAACAATTATGCATATCTGTGTACATAGTGATATTAAATATATCTATATATGTATGAATGATGCCATTTTATATGATATATAAATAAATCCCAAAGTAGATGGGGCCCTTCTGTACCTGATGATTTTTTGGGTCCTGTGTAGTGTTCAGTTATCACCAACATTGCTGCCATGAACTTCTAAATGTGTGTATCCTCAGACCCTTAGACTTAAAAGTAAGACTAGACAAGACCCTTACACTCAGCCATGTGAAAACTGATAAATGACTATTGTCAATAGATTTGTGCATATCTAGCAGGAGGTTTGGGTGCAGACTGAGGGAAGAGACTTGTGGTTTAGCTGTAGTTATTTTCTTACTATTTAAATTCAAATTTCATTAACTAGTTCTAATTCTTTATTGGACTGTGAACACAATAAGGCAAAATCCCACATGATTATTTTCTTTGTTGACTTAAATAGAATTGTGTATGAAGGCTTGTACTGAAGTTATTCAGAGTTGAGGCAGGAAAAGCTAAAATTTCAGCTTTTTTTTTTTTTCCTATGCCACCTAGTGCATCATACATGTGTTACTAAGTTTATAAAGGGCTCCTGGGAGAAAGGACATTTTCAGTGCTTGATATCAATCACAGGTAAAGCATCTATATACCTACTGATTGTGTAATTCTTTGATTCTCAAAATTAGGATTACAAGGCTTCCTTATGTACCCCCCACTCTCTACCGCCTCAACACTCCCCTTTCTCTGCTATCATTTTCTGCCAGTGTTCTATTCCATGAAGTTTTCAATATTGTCCTCTTGGAGTCTTCCTTTGTGTATTAATTTTCCCAAATTATTTAGAAGGAGGGCTGAGAGAGGGAAGGGGATGGAAACTGCAATCCAGGTGAAAGTGATGGTGGCTCAAAACATGACAAACCAAATGTGGCAAAATATTTAGAATTAGTGAGCCTAGGTAAAGGGTAAATGTGAATTCTTTTTAATATTGTTGCAATTTCTATATAGGTAAGTTTGCTTCAAAATAAACTTAAAAATAGCATGAATATACTCATTTCTTTAAAATTAAAAAAAAACCAAACAAACAGGGGACACCTGGGTGGTTCAGTCGGTTAAGCATCTGCCTTCAGCTCAGGTCATAATCGCAGGGTCCTGGGATCGAGTCCAGGATCGGGCTCCCTGCTCAGCAGATAGCCTGCTTCTCCCTCTCCCTCTGCCTTCCGCTCCCCCTGCTTGTGCTCTCTCTCTCTCTCTCTCTGACAAATAAATTCTTGAAAAAAAGGGGAGGATGCCTGTGTGGCTCAACTGGTTAAAACAAAACAAAAAAACTGTTTATGTATGTGTTTACTTACATACACATAGAATTCCTCCAGAAGTATACACAGACACTGATAACACAAGTGACCTTTCTGTCTTGACATAAGACACCATGAGAGCATGGTGAAGGAAGAGGGCTCCAGGTAGAGTGTCTGTATAATTATCATCCAAAATAGCACACTCCTGAGAGAAAGAAGGAACTATTCATTATTATGCCAGGACAGCAGTTGTAAAATGAGTCTTCACCAGGAAAATGGGGATATATGGTCATCGGGCATGGAAGGCAGACTTTACATGGTATGTCATTTTGTACATTTTGATCTTTCAACATGTGACTATATTAGCCACTCAAATTCATAAATAAAAAAGTAGGCATAGGGGAAAGGTGTTTAGAAAATAAGGTCTCAGTGCTACTAATATTGCTTTTATGTCCTTTCAAATAAAAATATATAGATATAGGGGCACCTGGGTGGCTCAGTCGTTAAGCGTCTGCCTTTGGCTCAGGTCATGATCCCAGGGTCCTGGGATGAAGCCCCGCATCGGGCTCCCTGCTCTGTGGGAAGCCTGCTTCTCCCTCTCCCACTCCCTCTGCTTGTGTTGCCTCTCTCGCTGTGTCTCTCTCTGTCAAATAAATAAATAAAATCTTAAAAAAAAAGACATATAGATATAGCTATGTATATAACTATATGATTATATGTAGTTGTATATAAATATGATAGTCCCCAGTTTACAATGGTTTGACATTATATTTCAGCTTTACAATGGTGTGAATGCAATACTCATTTAGAAGAAATCATACTTCAAAATTTTTTATAGTATAATTTGCATTTTATTTTTTTTCCTGGAACAGTTTTCCTTCAGTCTTTAAGGACTCAGCTCCTTAAATGGGTTTTGGTGGAGGTGGTGGGGCAGCACCCACGGATCTAAATTGGGGTGGTGGTATTCAGTCCTTCCATGTTTCACCAGAGCAACTCCTAACCACTTTGCTGTGAATGGCACAGCTCACACAGTAATGGACTTTCATACACAGCTTGGGAAACACATAGGCATCAAAGACCCTCATTTTGGAAATGTTCCCGATGGCGGTGGCCTCTACTATGTTCCCAATAACGAACTTCTCAATGGCCTTATCCTTAGGCATACAATGGTTGCAGATGGTGCAGAGAATGGGCAGCAAGTGGCCCTTTTTGGCACAGTCATGGTTCCTTCTTTCTGTGGGCATCTTGGAAGCAAGAACCTGAGAGCAGTACTTCAAATTTTATTTTTGATCTTTTCCCAGTCTAGTGATACGAGGCATGATACTCTCATGATGCAGGACAGTGGCTGGGAGCCATAGCTACCAGTCAGCCATGCAGTCTGGACCCATGCAACCATTCTGTTTTTCATTTTCTGTACAGTACTCAATAAGTTACACGGGATATTCAACACTTTGTTGTAAAATAGGCTTTGCATTAGGTGATTTTTCCCAACTGTTGGCTAATATAAGTGTTCTGAACATGTTTAAGGTAAGCTAGGTTAAGCTATGATGTTTGGTAGGTTAGGTGTCTTAAACATTACAATATTTTCAGCTCAGCTTTATCAGGACATAACCCCAATATAAGTTGAGGAAGATCTGTGTATAGATATATAGATATATAAACCTGCATGTGTGCATGTATTTTTCCATGTGTTTATAATGATACTTTCAATCCCAATCTAGTCACACAGGTTTGGTTTGCCTTCCTCCATTCCCTATTTGCATTGCCTTTTCCACATGGATAGCCCTCTTTCCCAGAATCTTCTTCCCTGTTTTGGCTTCTCTCCTCTTTTTTCCCCTCCGTTTTCATCTCCTGTTGCCCTTCCTTCCCATTGGTTGAAAGACCAGAGGTGCACAATGCAGGCATCATAGGTTTAACATCAAACTTTAAAAAATGTCACAGAAAATGCAGTTTTCTGGAAAGTGAAAGGGGCTTGGTTTAGGGGGATGAAGAATACTTGCTAGCACCCAGGGTCTGAAGTGACCTTGGCTCAGGGAAGCTGCAGGAACCCTGTCAGGTGAGTGTCCCCTCATGAGGGTGGTAGCTTATCTGCCTGAGCCTTGGGTGACAGAAGAAGCCCAGAGTCCTGTGCCAAGGCCCCAACAACCTTCCATGGGGCTGCCACACAGTTTCCCATAAAAGGCATATGTGCATTTTTTTCCAAGCTGGATCCAACATTTCCTGTGGAATAGTGAACATGAGGTCAGAGTCCATGTGATACTTTTTGTGTCAACAACCAGTCTCTGCAACAGGAGAAAAATTCATGTTTTTCAAGTTAAATGGATAAAGGAGGTAATATGGAGGTAATAACAATGTTATATTGTTTTATTTAAGAGGGCAAAGGACATTTTATAAATATTTTTCTTTCATTCTGCCCATGTCCTTTGTTTGTTTGTTTTTAAATAGATTTTTTTTTAAGATTTTATTTATTGGGGTGCCAAGGTGGCTCAGTTGTTAAGCGTCTGCCTTTGGCTCAGGTCATGATCTCATGGTTCTGGGATCGAGCCCAGCATCGGGCTCCCTGCTCAGCGGGAGGCCTGCTTCTCCCTCTCCCATTCCCACTGCTTCTGTTCCCTCTCGCTGTGTCTCTCTGTCAAATAAAGTCTCAAAAAAAAAAGTTATTTATTTATTTGACAGAGCACAAGCAGGGGAGTGGCAGGCAGAGAGAGAAGCAGGCTGTCCCAGCTGAGCCACCCAGGTGCCCTATGTCCTTAGTTTAAATTCTCAGAAGATAGATCACCATCTCCAGAAATTTCTGAGTCGTCCTGTTCCATCTATACATTATCAGAAATGAAGGTTTCTTTTAGTTTTTTATTTTTTTAGGATTTTATTTATTAGCACAAGCACAGTGTGGGGGAGGGGTAGAGGGAGAGGGAGAAGCCGACTCCCCGCTGAACAAGGAGCTAGAAGGACTTGGGAGCTCCATCCCAGGACCCCAAGATCATGACCTGAGCAGAAGGCAGCCACTTAGCCGACTGAGCCACCCAGGTGTCCCGGAAATGAAATTTTTTTTAAAAGATTTATTTATTTTGAGAGAGAGAGATCACAAGCAGAGGGGCAGAAGGAGGAGAGAGAATCCTAAGCGGACTCTGCTCTGAGTGTGGAGCCTGACTCGGGGCTCGATCTCATGACCTTAAGATCGGGACCTGAGCTGAAACCAAGAGTTGGATGCCTAATGGACTGTGCTACCCAGGTGCTCCAGAAATGAATTTTTTTCTTAAAGTTTCTATTTAAATTCCAGTTAACGCAGTGTAATATTAGTTTTAGGTGTACAATATAATGATTCAATGCTTCCATACAACACCTGGTGTTCATTACAACAAGGGGGTACATGTATCCCTTTGAATTAGTATGTTTGTATCCTTTGGATAAATACCTAGTAGTGCAATTGCTGGATTATAGGGTAGCTCTATTTTTAGCCTTTTGAGGAATCTCTGAACTGTTTTCCTGAGTGGATATAATCAGTTTGGATTCCCAGGAACAAATAGTACAGACAGTTCCCCTCTCTCTGAATCCTTGCTAACACCTGTTGTTTCTTGTTTTTTATTTTAGCCATTCCGACAGGTGTGAGGTGATAGCTCTTTGTAGTTTTCATGTGCATTTTCCTCATGATGAGTGATGTTGAGCATCTTTTGATCTGTTAGAGAGATACATATATGTATGTATATACTAATCTATGTAGTATTATAATTCCTAAATATAAAAGAGTTGAGCCATAAATGGAACTTAAATGCATTAAAACCTGCTGAAATTTAAATGGAAAATATTACATTAGCAACATTATAAATTAAAGAATATTCCAAAGAATATTGCATGAAGTAAAGTACATTATTTTATAATGATTAAGCCTAGAATATTTTTTTAAAGATTTTATTTATTTATTTGACAGAGAAACACAGCGAGAGAGGGAACATAAGCAGAGGGCATGGGAGAGGGAGAAGCAGGCTTCCCGCGGAGCAGGGAGCCCAATGCGGGGCTCAATCCCAGGCCCCCGGGAAGGGCTCAATCCCAGGACCCCTGGACCAGGTCCTGAGCCGAAGGCAGGCGCTTAATGACTGAGACACCCAGGCGCCCCAAGCCTAGAATATTTTTACTTGCATTTTTGTCCATACAGTTTAAAACTCTAAAGCACTGACTGAATGAGAGAAGATCATTTTAAAATAATTTAAAATAAATAATAGATTGTGGCATATGCCTTTTATTTAAGATTTTATTTATTTATTTATTTATTTATTTATTTATTTGACAGAGAAAGAGAGTGCACACAAGCTGGGGGAGCAGCAGAGGGAGAAGCAGGTTCTCCGCTGAGCAGGGACCCCAATGCGGGGCTCGCTCCCAGGACTCTGGGATCATGACTTGAGAGGGAGGATGTTTAACCAGCTAAGCCACCCAGACACCCTTAAGATTTCATTTTTTAAGTGATGTCTACACCCAACATGGGCTTGAGTTTCCAACCCAGAGATCAAGAGTCACATGCTCTACTGACTCAGCTAGCCAGGTGCCCCTGTGGCATGTTGCATTTTAATGATAAAAGGAAGATGGCGTATTGCTTTGATTTGCAAATATGTTCTTTGTCCAAGTAGTCCTCAGTGCTTCCATTATCCTTGAATGACTAGATTCTTTAAGTACTTTGTGAAAAAGAGACCATCCTTTCACTGATGGAATGTTTTCAATCTTATCTGGGTAGGATCTTCTGGATGTCTCCAGGCAATTCCATTAAGTGGCTAAAAGGAATCACTAGTTTTGACATGGACCATGTGTAGCATCTAATCTATTTATATGAATCTGTAACATTTCACGCAGTGCTGTCAGTTATGCAGTTGATTTTTTTTAAGTTTGTTTACTTATTTTTTAATAATCTCTACACCCACCATGGGACTTGAACCCCTGACTCCAAGATCAAGAGTTTCATACTCTTCCATTTGATCCAGCCAGGTGCTCCTACGCAGTTGATTTCTTGAATTTTTTTTTCTCTTTAACACTTCTGTCAGGTGGAGGAAAATGGTCTTCAGGATACCCAAGGTAATCAAGAGTTTCTCCTACTCTTTTAATCATTTTTTTAAAGTAGGCTGTATGCCCAAAAAGGGGCTTGAACCTGTGACCCTGAAATTAATAGTCACATGCTCTACTGACTAAGCCGTCAGATGCCCCTCTTTTAAATATTTTTTATTTTCAGCTTATTGAAAGTTCTCAATTAAGAAAATGTCACGCTTCAATTCATTGTGTAGTACATTAAGAGATTGCACTATCTGTTGCTATTTATCCAACCCTTTGTTCTCTTTCCAAGTCTTCCTTTTTCATTCTTTGACTAAATGGTAGACAGTACCCTTGGGGCACCTGGGTGGCTCAGTTGTTAAGCGTCTGCCTTCGGTTCAGGTCATGGTCCCAGGGTCCTGGGATTGAGCCCCACATCAGGCTCCCTGCTCAGGGGGAAGCCTGCTTCTCCCTCTCCCACTCCCTCTGCTTGTGTTCCCTCTCTCGCTGTGTCTCTGTCAAATAAATAAAATCTTTAAAAATAAATAAATAAATAAATAAATAATAAATAAATAAATAAATAAATAAATGGTAGACAGTACCCTTCAAAATCATGTCTTAATTTTTGGAACTCTTCCTTATGTTACCAGAACTACTTTATTCAGTGGAATTATTTCAGGAGTTTCTGTCATTAACTGAGTTCAGTGGTCAGACATTTCACCTGTATAACTAATAATGATGATTGAGCCTTTGAATCAGTGACCCTCTCTATAAACAAGTGATAATTTATTCTAATATTCCTTCCTATCATTTCATGTTCTTTCATATTCCTTTTATTTTTTAAGTAATCTCTACACCCAACATGGGGCTCGAACCACAACCCTGAGATCAAGAGTCATGTGCTCCACCAACTGAGCTAGCCAGGCACCCCTCTTCACAGTCTTTAGTAAATTCTTCTTAAGCATCTTAACATCTTCCACACCTGTAGTACTGTCTGGTCTAATTCTTGCTGATTCACTGGCATGTGCTTGTGATTTTCTTAGCCTTATGATAATAATGGGAAAAAAAAAGGTGTGGGAACATAGGCAAGTCACTTAAATTGCCTGTGTATCAGTTTCCTTACTCTTTTCAGAGAATGTGCTAGAAAATAAGCTCAGACAAAAAACCATGTTTGGAGTACTTGACGGGAAGCCCACAAGTTAACCAGTTCTTTCAGTTCCCCACCCCTTTG